CAAAGTTTATTACAAAATGCATATTTCCTTATGTTTAGGCCTTATATAATTTCTTCCCAATGTATACTTATATTCTTTATGACAAATCATTTTCCAAGCATACTATAAGTCCTTTGAATTTTTCCTGTCATCACACTTTCGTATTTACTGTCCTCTCCAAGTTTAATCAGGATGCTATATAATTCCTTTTACAGTTCATTAAGATGTCAAATATAGCAATGCTGTTTATCAGCCTCTATAGAAGATTCCTTTCATTTCATATTATTTTCAAAGATTTTAGTCTACAGTCTATTTTCATTGAGATTAGACTGAATTTTAAGCTTTGCATGATTACACATAAAAATTTATTAAAATGCAAATATCCACTATCAAGTTTATTCTCTTTAATATAATCCCATGGAGGTTAAACAAACACCTGAAGTTACTAAATTTGCCCGGGAGGAGTCTGTTTCTCTTTCCCCAACCAAACCACTATTTTCTGATAATCATCTCACCATATATGATTTTCTCAATTTTTTCTTGATCCCACTTAACTCTTTTTTGAATGTGTAAGTAGTAATTCTCATCTTCTGTATGTGTGGAACATAACTTTGTATTGTCATGGATCACCTGACAGTCTGCCATCTAATTTAGTCTAGGGTCTACTGATTTGCATACCAGACCATTACTCCACAAATGTCACCACAAATATGCCCTTAGATCGTATATTTCAATATGGACCACTACCTTCCCAACCAACTTTGTTTTAACCGTATACCTACACTGAGCTTATGACTTTTTTTACTTTAATTTTTAAATATTTGCTATTATTACATTGCTATTCACCATCACTTCTAAACACCAGAGTTGTGATAAACCAAGATCAAGCCTACCAATAGAAAGCCCCTACACAGACATAAATAGAAAAGTCGTAAATTCCTGTGCTATATAACTATAGCACAAGCACAGAAGTGACCACATATATAAGGTGTGCAATGATCTTCAGGAAACAGAACCAAAAATTAGGCCTGAGTGACTTGGTAAGTAACAGAATTATTACTTTTCGTAATAGCATAAGTGTTTCTCTTCTAAGTGATTCTCTAGGCACTCCTTTATTTGGGATTTCTCAGATTAGCATAAATATTCATGACTTGGGATAGGCAAAAGTTTCTTATGACACAGAAAGCAATAAGTATAAAAGAAAATATCGAGAAATTAGATGTCTTCAAAATTAAAAATCTCTGCCCATTAAAAGATATCATTATAAAAATAGGTTAAGCTACAGACCAAAAAGACATTATATACAAAATATCTGCCAAAGAATTTATCAGATAAAGGATTGATATTCAAGATATATAAATAACTCCTATAATTTAACAAAAAGGCAAATCCAATAAAATATAGGCAAAAGATCTGAACAGACATTTTACAGAAGAAGATATACAAATGGCCAAGAAGCACACAGAAAAGTGCTCTACATTATTAATCATCAGGGAAATGTGAAGCAAAACCACAAAATCCATAAACTGTCCACTGGAAATGAATAAAATTAAAATGTTTGACACCACCAATCCCTGGTAAGGATATAGAGTAACTAGAACTCTCATAGACTGTTGTGGAGTATAAAATGATACATTTTGAGGAAAAAAGGTCTAGCAATTTTTTATACAACCAAGCATGTGACCCAATAAATCTCCCCCTAGTCATTTACCCAAAGAAATAAAAAATATATGTTCACCAAAAGACTTGTACAATAATGTTCAGAATAACTTATTCAGAACACCCCAAACTAGAAACAGCCCCAATGTACATCAACAGGATAAAAAAACTGTGGTATACTCATATAGTGGAAAGCAACTAAGCAACTATAAAGGAATGAACTATTGATAAATTCAACAAGAGGGATGAATTTCAAAAACATTACGCTGAGTTTGAAATAAGTCTATGCAAAAGAGAACATACTGCATGATTCATTTTTATTAAGTTCAATTGGGGGTGCAGTTAACCAACTGGAAAGGAACTTTCTGGGGTGCTAGTAATATTTACATCTTGATAGGAGTTTAGGTTACACAGTTGCATGCATCTGTCAAAACTTAGTGTATATACATTTACGATTTGTACATTTATTGTATGCAAATTTTACCTCAAGAGAAAAAACTCTAAAGAATAAATTCTGTTAAAGAAATATGTTAAAAACTACACAGTAAAATTGTTAAGAAAAATAAATTCAAAAATTTTTGGAAAAATGTATACTCTAAATCAAGTATGTGAAGGAATAGTACAATCCTTGCACTTACCTAGCTGTCTTACCTGGCTCCCTCATGTCCTTCAGGTCTCTGCTAAAATGCAATTTTAACAGAAAGGCCTAACAATCCTATTTTAACAAACACTTTCACTCACCTTTCTGTCTATCTTTATGTCCTGATTATTATTTATTCATAACTTTTATTGTCCCAAGAACATTTGTTTATTACATGTCTCTCTACCACTGGAATATAAAGTCGAAGAGACCAGGCCTTTATCTTGTTTTTTTGTATCTTTAGAGCCTAGGAAAATGTTTGACCCATAACTCAATATTTCTTGAATAAACAAATGAATGAACATCACCAGGGATGTGAATTATACCTTGGGGCAAACACTATGAAGGGTTTTTGTTGGGGGTGGGAGGGAGAACATTCTTGAACACATTATTCCTTTTCCAACATTCCAGTCAATTGTAATCAACTTGTGATTTGAAGTGAATTTTAATGGAAAGGTGTCTGGACTTAAACCAAACAAAAAATGTACTAATGTGGGTCTCCCCTCTTCTCTCACCTCCACTTTTTGGTCTCTGTCCCCAAAGAGGTTGGGATTTCCACTGAAATCTACCCACCCCATATATCTGGTCTCTCTCCAACCCTTATTCGATTCTCCCCCAGCAAGGAAGAATGACTAATCTGATAGATCAGAATTTGATATTCATTTGGCCACATCTTACTAGAGGATGAGATCACTGAGGTAAGCTGGTCCATGTTCTTGCCTGTTTCTTATCTACCTGTTTTTTTAAAGAAGACTTGTCAGGTCTTGACTTTCTTAGTGCCACTTCTGATCAGCTGTGTGAGGCAGGTCTACAGGCCTCATTCATGCTTCAAGTTGGGTAAGGAGTCTAATAATCTGCTTTGCAAATCTAAGTCAAGGCTCTGCAGATGACCCAAGTCGACTCAGGATGGAAGTTTTAGGCACAAGTCATATTCTGCAGTATAGATTTTACCTAAGAACTTTCAATTGAAGGTTATAGGATACTGGCATGGATTAATGAAGTTTATACCACTGTCACAATTGGACGGCAATCACTGAATATATACTATATCAGTCAAAATACCATACAAGTTCTGAACTTCTACCTTAGGAAAAATATAAAAGAAAAAACATAAAAATAATATAATACACCAGTGGTGCTAAATAACTTATTTTAATAAATTCATCTTTAATACAAGTGTAAAACAAGATTCCTGCCATTTCAACTACAGTTAAACCCAAACTTCAGATCTAATCAATAACATGTTAATTTTTTAAAGTTTTTAACTATAGAGTATCAAATATAATACAGAACTCTTAAATATTTAATGCTTCACAATATTAAAAATAAACTTCTTAGCATTTATTCCAAGGCTACCAAAAGTTCCCCACTCGTAACCTTTTTTTTTTAAACAAGTATAGTGCCTGCTGGTGTTTATATTTGTTAAAAATTTAAAAAACAAAACAAAAAAAACTTCTAACTTGAATGTAATTTGAGTACTTCCAAGCCATCCAAAAACACCTGACACAGGTAGTAGGCTCATGGTTTTGGTAGATGAAATCATGTCACAGAGTTTTAATGTTATAACTAGACTTTTAAACCACAAAATAAAGCAAAAAAATCTAACATCATTCAATACCCTTTCTTGTTTGTTTTTCGTTTTACCAATAAAGAACCAGATTTAATGTCATTATTCTTCATTCAAATACCATATGAGGTTTTGGTTTCTGTTTGTTACTGGTTAACTAGTTATTATCGAATGCCCAAGGATAATTCTCATTAGAGCTAAGCATTTGCACATGAAGGTAACTCGTTTTCATTTAAAATAAATAACATACATACACGTAGACTAAATATAACCATGTGCAAACTAGTAAGAGAAATTCAACTAGAAAACTAATAGAGCAGCTACTAGAAAGAAGACAGAGGGAAAATTTTTAAATTAAGATAATTTCTGGTGGTTTTTTTTTGGAATCATTAAGATACTACCAATGTATTCAGACCATCTAAGATTAGAAAGAAGAACATGGGAAATGCTGAGAAGAATAATTTCTCCTACAATTAAAATAAATGTGCTTTTAGGAAAGAGGAAAAAAAATAAGCTAAGCTCCTCAAATGAAAATTATAAAACAAAACATGGGATTAGTAATTTATTAAAAATTACACCATTGATTTTGAGGGAAAAAACAGTAGTTTTTTTAAAACAAGGGCATGAGAAAGACTTCAGATTGAGACTCATAATTGGTTCTCAATGAAAAGTACTACTAGTAATAAAATTAAAATTCAAGTATTTTCTATTTAATGTGTGCAAAAAATACATTATTTATATCTGAAATATAAACTAACAATTTATTTTCACTTATAAAGTGTTATAGGAAAAGTTTACTCCTCACAGTGTTCAAAATTAAATAGGAATTATTTTCCATACCTATCAATTATAATGGTAATTTCAAGTAAAAAATTTAGTTCTGCCAAACTAAAGCTCAGATTCAAATAAAAAATATATATGAAAGTATCTAAACTTTTAAAAAGTTTTAAATTTTTGTTATTTTGCAATGATAGTTTTACTTTTCTAACATTTAAAAAAATTAGCCTCCTTCTATCAATATAAAACTATTCAAATAATCACAACAGAATCTTTTATATCAGAAAAACAAATTCACATGATACGCTCCTAAAACTCAAGAATTACAATCCAGAAAGGGGTAGTCTCCCTGAAACAGAAAGAATTTCTTTCTTTTTGTCACCTCCATTCCTTATGTATAATCTTTATTTCACATCATTTACATAGAAATATTATCACAAACTGACAGGTAGATAAGAAAAAAAAATTTTGCCTTCTAGAGTTCATTAAGTAAATTTATTCAGTCTTCTTAGCATGTTTCTTTTTAACCTTATCTGAACTATCATCTGCAGGTTTGGAGGCCAATGACCCAGTGCCATTGGAAGATGATTTTGCTTCATTTTTCTTTTCACACGAAAACTGCTGCTGCCAGCCAAACAGCATCCGACTCAATGTATCTTCAAAAGGAGCAAAACTCACAGTAGAAGTCTGTGTAATCATCATGGTTACCTGGAGAAAAAAGTTCAATTTTGAATTTAATTACAAATGCTTTATGTTTCTCAAAACAAAGAAGAAAATAAATAAAAAGAAAAAAAGAATTCAAAATGCATTCTTAATTTAATCTGCAGAAGATGCTAACTAAGCTAGATTCCAGTAAAATCTCTGCTCTCTATGAGTTTACACTTAAGGGAAAACTATACAGCTCATTAAAAATAATATAGGGTATCCTACTCTTGGGCACCAAGTGAGCAGTATAACAATTTTTTAAAAAATACATTTAGTATTCACAGGAAATAAGATAAAATAGCATCTACAGTCTAAATCAAACCACCAATATAGCTGTCATTACTATGAGCTTAACATTTGCCAGAACTGAGTTAAGTACTTTACATTATTATTCTCTTAAATTTTAACACAACAACTACTCCATTATTAACCTCACCATAGAAACGTGGAACCTAGACTCTCAGAGGTTAACTAACTTGCCCAAAGTCACAAAGCTAACAAGTAGTAAAGCAGTCTGCAACACACAGATTTTGAGTTCAATTACTAAATACACTGCCTATCATCATCTAACACCACAGACTTTCAGTGACTTGCAGAATATCTCCCCTAAGGGGGGGTAGGGAACCTGTAGAAAGCCTCTATCACTCAATTTTTCCATATATATTTTTATATATAAGGAACCAAAACATCAAGAGGCAGAGTTAGAGAGTGTTCCCAATCCTTTATCTGGCAAAATGCACGATGTTCAGAGATGTTTAGATTTGCTTAAGAAATTGGATTAGTGTCAAAATAAATCTGGGGGCAGAACTTTAAGGTCTAGAATAGTTCTAAAAAGTCCAGTAATTTCCAAGAGTCAATTCCTCTAGATCACAGATAATGAATCAAACTAGAAATATTTGGAATCAAATTTCAAAAAGAAAAAAAAAGGCCCCTACATAACCCACTTGCATGGAGAAAATGGAATCAAAAATAAATTCTTATTACCTGCAATACAGTCTAGGTAGTGAGGAGTTAAAGAAAAAGTATATGTCTTTCACAAGAGGAACAGATAATTGAAATAATGCATACTATACAATATAAGTGATCAATGGAACAGGAAAAGGCAAAAATTCTTAGAACATAGCGTTAGGTGAAAATGAGACAGAACAGTATCATTTGCATAAACTAAAAATGCATTCACATACATTGTGAATGTACTCAATGCCACTGAAATGTATACTTTGAAATAGCTAATTCTGTTATGTGAATTTGACCTCAAAATAAAAAAACAAAAAACAAAATTTTTTTTTAAAATACATGCACACAAACTTCAGACAAGCCATGACTTAACAGCTTAGTCTCTCACCGAAATCAATATAAAAGCTAGAAGTACACAAAGTAACTGCTAGAAGACACCAGAGAACAACCAATACAGGCAGAACCTGATGGGGCTATTATCACTAAGAGAAAGATAGGTGAATAAAGTAAACTCCACTTTCACCCTGGCTTTTTCTTTTCTTTTCTTCTTTTTTTTTTTTGAGACAAAGTCTCACTCTGTTGCCCGGGCTAGAGTGCTGCACCATCAGCCTAGCTCACAGCAACCTCAAACTCCTGGGCTCAAGCGATCCTTCTGCCTCAGCCTCCCTAACAGCCGGGACCACAGGCACGCGCCACCATGCCCAGCTAATTTTTTTCTATATATTTTTAGTTGGCCAATTAATTTCTTTGTATTTTTAGTAGAGATGGGGTCTCACTCTTGCTCAGGCTGGTTTCAAACTCCTGAGCTTGAGCAATCCGCCCGCCTCGGTCTCCCAGAGTGCTAGGATTACAGGCGTGAGCCACAACGCCCAGCCAACCCTGGCTTTTTCTTTTGAGGATATGTGCCAATTCACAGCACAGGGTACTAGAAAGCAGAAGTCCCAGTTGGCTAAAGACACAAAGGTTAGCGTCTGAGAAGGTCAAAGCATCCATGTCTTGAGGGTACTACAGCCCAAAGAGGAGAGAATCATATGGAAGTGAACCCAAATATCCTTGTGTAATCTTCCCTAGAGTTTTCACCAAACGCTAAACTACGTATACATAGGAAGGAAGAGAATTCAAAAGCCTAGCAAACAGCAACAGCTGGAAGGCCAAAGAGCTGAGTAAACATGTCAGCAGCCAGCTGCCAGGTACTGGGAAGACAGGTTGGAGTTCAAGGTTGGCCAAAGTGGTCTTCATTTAAGCCCATAGATATAGCTCAGGCTTAAATTAAAACCCCCAAAAGAGTTACATTGTAGCAGGGCAACCCTAAAATAGAAAAGCCTAAAACTAACTAGCATGGACAGGATTAAAATATTTGTGCATTACACCTTTCTGCCAGAAGAATGTTGAATGTAGTCTCTAACTTCAAGGAGTATACAAACTAGTCAGAGACAGGCAAGTAAATTCAGCAACTAAAGAGTAAGTGCAGTAATAGAGGACTTCCCAGAAATGTTTAAGTAAGGGATCTAGAAGTTATTACCATATAAGTGAAAAGTAAAGGCCTGAATATGAATGTGGGTCACTTGGAAAGAATATAGAATGAGAGGAGTCTAAAAACAACATTAACCTCCAAGTACTATTTGGTAAGATCTAAGAACTTTTTCTATTAAATTATTTCTTAAAATAGTTACAATGAAAGATACCAGCATAATTATCTTGGTCACAGATTGACTTAATGAACTACTAATAAAAAGACAAAAGAATTCCAATCAAAACCAACAGTCTACTCTTAGGAAAATAGCAATGTCTTTTTTAAAAAATTCAAGACAGAAGAGTGTCCGTGTTTAAGAACATGAACTATAATAAGTATTTTTCAAAGTCGAGTGTTTTAATAGAATCTCCATTCCCAACAGACTCCTCACTCAGCTAAGAAGTATTGCTGGCATCAGAAATTACTGCTGAGATAGACTTATGCGGTTCAAGGACAGACTTCTTTGGATTCGGCCTCTTACCAGACTTTGATTTAGCTAGGTGACAGAAATATAATTGTGACAAATAGACTAAATCCTTATTCTTTTACAAATAAAACATAAAACTGTTTCCTTATTTAGCAAACTATTAAAATAAAAAGCATATTACCTAAATTAAATAGCATTTGGCTTTATGGTCTCTTGCTTAAAAAGGAGAGGAACCAAAAGAAAGTAGAAGCCCTAAAATATTTTAGTATTTTCAACATATCCTAAAATATCAATTAATTGAGGTAAAGATGGAGAGAAAAGAATACTTATATACTGTTGGTGGGACTGCAAATTAGTACAACTGCTGTGGAAAATAGTATGGAGATTCCTCAAAGAACTAAAAGTAAACCTACCATTTGACCCAGCAATCCCACTACTGGGTATTTACCCAAAGGAAAAAAAGTCATTGTATCAAAAAGACACTTGCACTCAAATGTTTATTGTAGCACAATTCACAATTGCAAAGATGTGGTATCAATCCAAGTGCCCAATTCATGAATAGGTTAATAAAATGTGGTATATGTATACCATGGAGTACTACTCTGCCATAAAAAATGAATTAATACCTTTTGCAACAATCTGAATGAAACTGGAGACCATTCTCCTAAGTGAAGTATGGCAAGAATGGAAAAACAAATACCACATGTACTCGCTATTAAATTGGAACTAACCGATCAGCACTCATGTGCACAGATGGAAGTAAAACTCAGCTGAAATAAAGCAGGTGGGAGGGGAGAAGAGGGGATGGGTGAAATCATACCTAATGGGTACAATGTACACTATCGTAGTGATGGGCACACTTACAACTTTGTCTCAAGCAAAACTCATGCTTAAAATTGCAAAGCCTAGATTTCAACATACATCTGTATGATTCTAATATCCATGTGCTTTCCTCTATGTCAATAATATTAGTTAGCACATATTTATTTCCCCTGAGACTTTGGTTTTAACAATCACAAAAGATTTGTGAGAAACAGAAAGGTAGAACTTAGTCCTCCTACAATGAAAATGGGAGCCCACAAGGGCTGAACACTCCATGAACATTCAGCTTGCTTGAGTTCTGGAAGAAAAAGAGGGAGGGAAGGAGGGAGGGAGGAAGGGAGGGGAAGGAGGGAAGGAGGGAAGCAGGAGAATATTTAACATACTTCTCTCAACCAGGAAGAAAATTAATAAGATCAGACAGGAAAAAAATTAATAATTATATACTATATTTGAACCATAATGAATAAGCATATACATACATACATATATATGATTCCTCATACCTCCAAAATGAAGAATATATTTACTTTTCACACAAACAAAGATTAATATAAAATCATATCAATACTAGTAACAAATAAAGTCTCAACAAATACCAAAGAATAACATACTACAAGCACACATACATGTCATCAAAAATGCAGTTCAAGTAGAAATCATTTAAAAAAAGATTTTTTTCTAAATTCTTGGAAATTTTAAAACACACTTGACATTTCTTTGTCAAAGAAGAAGCTACTATAAATCATAGGAATTTAAACCAAATGACAATAAAAATATACACATCAAAATGTGATATGAAGCACAGCAATGAAAAACAATATTATTGAGGGGAATAATAAAACCAAAAGTTGGTCCTCTGAAAAGATTAAAAACACACAGATAAACCTTTAACAATACTGATCAAGAAAGGAACGCAGGAACTTCCTCCTTTGCTATGATAGAATAACTGGTTCTAGACTATCCTTCCAAGTGTAAAAATATAAATTTGACAAAACACATACCTGAGTCAACTATTATCAGGCATTAGACAACAGAAAGTATTAAGACTGATCCATGAGAAAAGAGAAATTCATAAAGTGATGCCCACATTTTCCCTGACTTCTGCCTGAGGACAATTTTCAACCAGAAAGCAGAGAGCTAAAACTGAAGCTGAGGCAGCAGAGATTGATGTTCAGTGCAGCTAAAGTTGCCCACAACATGCAGAGTGAGGTAACCAGAGAGGAGGAACCAGAGCAGGTACAGGGGCTGGGGGAGGGGACTCCAGATATCTGTATGGGATGCAGCTATATACAAGTCCTTGGTTTAGGGCTAGGCTATACATGTGAAGACAGAGACTACCTAAGGCTTACCCACAGGACTGCTTGAAATGAAGCAGATTCAGATAACAACAAAGATACTAGAGGTTGAGCAACACTGGGAAGAGGGGTCCTTTATTTTAAGTTACTCTTATGGAACTCAATATTTTTACATGTGCATGCTTGTCATAATTTGGGGGAGATATTGTCTTTAAGAATAGAAATCATATTTATTAGCATCTGAGAATATGCCAAAACACTGATTATCCAAAACAAACGTACAATGCAAATTTTCTGACTACATAAATAACAGGAAAAAAGCAATCAAAGAAAAGGAAAATAATTACTGGCAAATATTTCTCTGTATACTCCTGCCAATTTTTTTTATATCTAAAAAAATGTGACACTATAGTAGCTATTCAGAAACACTTAAATGACAAGCCATTTTAAAATCAGCCTGATTAAAATTATCACACATATTATCAGTATCAAATCTGAATGGAATTTGGGCAAATAGATGAGTTAAAAATGGATATTCTATTTTGAAATATACTTCTAATTGGGAAAACGGGGAATATCACATGAAAAGTTTAACACTGTATGGTTTTCTATTTTTAAATATCTTTTTAATTATTATATTGTAGTATGATATTTAAGTTTGGGTGTTATAATAAAAAATTATATGTCCAGCAACAATTGTAAGAAAAACTATCATTTTTATTCCACAAATTAGGCCTTGAACAAAACTGATCCTATAATTTAAAAAAACTTAAGATACCAGTGCTATTTATTCTTACCAAACCCACAATACACATTCATTTTCTTTAAAGTTAGAAACTCTCAAAAATTATACAGCTCCCTAAACTCCTTCTTCATGATAAAACCACTCAAAAAACTACTAGAAGAAAACTAACTTCCCCAACCTTATAAAACCTTACAAAAAACCCACAGCCAACAACAGACTTAACAGTAAAAGAACAAATGCTTTCTCCCTAAGATCAGGAAAAAGGCAAGAATATTCACTCCATTTCTTTTCAACTTGTACTGGAGGTTCTAGCCAGGGCAATTGGGTAAGAAAATAAAACTAAAGACATGTAAATTGGAAAAGAAATAAAATGATCTCTATTTGCAGATGACATGATCTTGAATATAGAAAATTCTAAGGAATCCACACTAAAAAAAAAAAAACCTATTAAAGCTAAGAAACAAGTTCAGCAAAGTTGCAAGATACAAGATCAATATACAAAAATCAACTGTATTTCTACAGATTTATAATGAACCTGAAAATGATATTTTAATGTAATTTCATTTAATATAGCAGCAAAAAAGAATAAAATATTTAGAAATAAACTTAACAAAAAAAGTTTAAGACTCGTACATGGAAATCAATGAATAAAAATTAAAGACAACCTAAATAGATGGAAATAAATCTTGTGTTGATGGATTAGAAGCCTGAACATTGTTAAAATGGTAATAGTTCCTAAACTGATTTACAGATTTAAAGCAATGTCTATCAAAATACAAGCTGGCTTCTTTGCAGAAATTGTCAAGTCAATCACAAAATTTACATGTAAATTCAAGCGACCCAGAATAGTCAAAAAATTCTGAAAAGGAAGAACAAACTCAGAGGGCTCATGCTTCCCGATTCCAAAACTATGAAGCTACCATAATTAAGACTGAGTGATAACAGCATAAGGATAGGTAGGTATACACAAATTAATGGAATAAAACTTAAGAGTCCAGAGGTAATCAACTGATTTTTGACAAGGGTTGCAAAAACAATTCAATGAGAGAAGGAATAGTCTTTTCAATAAAAAGTGCTGGGACAACAAAATATCCACATGTAAAAGAAAGAAGGTGAAGGTGAAGGTCACAGTGGCTCATACTTGTAATGCTAGCACTTTGGGAAGCTAATGCTGGAGTATCGCTTGAGGCCAGGAGTTCGAGATCAGCCTGGACAACATAATGAGACCCTGTCTCTAAAAAAAAATACAAAAAAAAGCTGAGTGTTGTGGCACATGCCTATAGTCCTAGCTACTCGGGAGGCTGAGGCAGGAGGATCACTTGAGCCCAGGAGTTTGAGGCTGCAGAGAGCTGTGATAGTGCCACTGCACTCTAGCCTGGGAAACAGAGCAAAATTCTGTCTTTAAAAAAAAAAAAAAAAGAATATGGTTGGACCCTTCCTCACACCATATACAAAAATTAACTTATAACACATCATAAGAGCTAAAACTATAAAACTTATAAAAGAAAACATAGAGATAATTCTACATTACCTTGGACTGGGCAATGGTTTCTTAGATATGACACATAAAGCATACACAATAAAGAAGAAAAGAGGTATACTGACTTCATCAATTTTTTTTTAATTTGTGCTTCCAAGGACACTATCAAGTAAAAATAAAATTTACAGGGCAGGAGAAAAATAACTGTAAATCATATGTCTGATAAGGGTCTAAAAGAAGTCTTACAACTCAACATTAAAAAGACAAATACAATTAAAAATGGTCACATGATCTGAATAGACAGATATTTTTCCAAAGAAGATATACAAATCTAACAAGCACATGGAAAGATACTCAGCATCATTATTCATCAGGGAAATGCACATCAAAATCACAACGAGATGCCACTTCACACCTATTCGGGTAGCTATAATGAAAAAAACAACAGACAATAACATGTACTGGTGAGGTTATGGTGAAATTGGAACTCTCATATTAATACATTGCTGGTAGGAATGTAAAGTGATAAACAACTTTGGAAAAAAGTCTGCCAGTTCCTCAAATGGTTAAACAAAGAATTACCATATGATCTAACAATTCCATTCCTAGATGATATATCCAAGAGAAATGAAACACATGTCTATACAAAAACTTTGATATGTATGTTCATAGCTCATTTATTCATATTAGCCAAAAAGTGAAACAACCAAAATGTCTGTCAACTAATGGATAAATAACAGGGCCTATGGTTGAGGGTACTAGGGAAAATTTGAATGCTAATAAGTATAAGGTTTCTTTTTGGGGTGATAAAAATGTTCTAATATTGACTATGGTGATAACTGCACAACTCTGTAAATATACTGAAAACCATTCAATCGTACACTTTAAGTGGGTGAACTGTATGGTATGGAAACTATATCTCAATAAAACTGTTAGAAAAAAATACATACAGCTCAAAATTTGAGGACTGGAAGACAGTATATGTGAAGAGATTTTACCTCAGATAGCTGAAGTACAAATATCTGATATATAAGATATCTGAATTATAGCCACAGACCACCTCCATCTCAGAGACTACAAAAACAAAAATAAATGATCCCTATAGTGACTTGGTTCTAAGACACCAATTTATACTGTTTTCTTTTTAAGAATCCTGCAGATAAGTTTTTAGCCAAAAATATCTAGTTTGAAATAGAGTTAGCCATAACATTTTTCTAGGTTTAAATAATAATTTTATCCTAAGATCAATTACCTACTTGTGAATAGGGAACAATCCCTAATAATGTTAAGAATAATCAGAATTAGTCCCATGATACAGCTGCAAATAAAATTCATAAAATGTGTCAGACACAGTGACAGAGAGAAAATTGGGAATCAGAGACATTAAGTGACTTGCTTGTTCAGGGATTAGGCAGCAAAATTAGGATTTGAACCCAAGACTGCCTTGTCTCTAAAACCATCTTATGTCATACTACCTCCTATCTTCAAAAAGAAATAAAGCTCCCACCCAGGCAACATTTTTTTTTACTAACATTTTTCTTATTTTTATTTATTTTTTATTTCAGCATATTATGGGGGTACAAATGTTAATGTTACATCTATTGCCCATGCCCCCCTCCCCCCTTGAGTCAGAGCTTCAAGCGTGACCATGACCCAAACATTGCACATCTCACTCATTATGTTTGTATATACCTATCCCTTCCTCCCCCCTTCCCTCTGCCCAACACCCGATAAATGTTATTCCTGTATGTCCACTTAGGTGTTGATCCGTTAATACCAATTTGCTGGTGAGTACATGTGGTGCTTGTTTTTCCATTCTTTTTTTTTTAATTGAATACTGTATTTATTAATATAAACAGGATAACCAGTCATTTCCACACATGCTCTTGCTCCTCTGATTTAGATAATACTTAGAAGAATGGGTTCCAGCTCTATCCAGGAATATATAAGAGGTGCTATATCACCATTGTTTCTTAAAGCTGAATAGTACTCCATGGTATCCAGGCAATATTAATAGAAGAGACTGATCACAAATAAGTCCTAATATAAAACCCTGAAATTTTAGCACTTAAAGGAAACTCAGAGAGCATCTACCCCAAGCACCTCATTTTATAAATGAGACACTACTATCTTTATAATCTTGGATAAGCCTTAGTTATTTCCACTAACAATATACTAGTAGGCTATCTGTAAGTGTTTCCTGATAGCCTCAGCATAAAGCAAATGAGGAATCACAGAAAATCTGTTTCAGAAAGTCACAGATTTGCTAAATAAACTCTCCCAAATTTATCTTTTTAGACTATAATAACAATAAAAAAGTTCCTACTACTTGCCCAGTATGTAGGATTCTATCAAAGAGGAATGATAATATAGGATTTGTAATGCTGACTTATAAGTATTAATATTTTGAACTCTTACCTTTGTGGCCACAATGAAGATGGTATAAAGGAACATAAGATTATGCTTTGATATTGCCAAATGTTTGGTGTGCTGGAATGTGAAGATAACTGACCCCAGCAGGGTTACCTTGGCAGGGCTGAAAATAAAACACATTTTAAGTCAGCAAGTAATAACATAATCTATCTCTTTTTCAAAGAGTACTCTGCAAAACAGTAATTTAATGGGCTATTAATAGATGTAACACAAAAATGAATATACTTTAAAAGTTTTGAAAATGCTGAGTTATACAAATTCAAATATCTTTCTTCACAGTATAAAGTACTAGAGATTTTAGAATGTTCATACATTTCCAACTTTCTAACAAAGAAAAAGATTTCTACGTGCAATATTTCCAAAACATATTTCCCATATAACACTTTTTCACAAAGAATTTGAAATTCCCATGTTCCACTGCATGATTTGGAACTAGTCTTGAAAAACCTTATAGTGCTAAACAAGCTCCCAGGGTGGGGTGGAGGAAGAAAAGAAAGACCTGATTTGTAGCATTTGCCCATTTCCACTGTGTAAATACTCACATCACAGCCAATTTCAGGCTGCTGCATGCAAAGGGAAAAGAGATGCACACAATCTGCTCTCATAAAACAGTAATAGCTACCTCCATCATTAAACTAACCACATCATTTAACTAACTCCAGCACAGCATATTAATTTTAGCTAATATATTAATACACTAATGCTGAAATAGTAAAGTCTAAAATACTGTGATAATCTACCAAACAAGAAGCATTACTTTCATGTTATATATTTGCCACATATTTAAAGTATATCTCAGTAACAGATCATTGTCTAGCTCTCTATGCATGGAAGTAGAAAAAGATACGCCACACTGCAATATGACAAATTTAAAGGTTCCTATAAGCCATTTAATAAAAAATAAGTTATTTAATTATTACAAGCTGAGGACTCAGTTCAAAACAGGGTTAGGTTTGGGCAAAAGAGATTTAGACCTCTCTTAACAATATGATTGGATAACATTCATGTTTTACAACAGTGATCTCTAAACTTTTTTGATTCATACCCCTACTGGTTAAAAAATGTGTTTTAAGACATTCTTTAATGTAAGTTTATCAATTTAGAAAAATCAAAATCATACCATGTATCTTCTCAAACCATAGTGGAATAAAAGTAGAAATCAACAATCAAGTTCCAAAAGGAACTCTTGAAACTACACAAATACATGGAAATTAAACAACCTGCTACAGAACAATCCTTAGGTCAATGACAAAATGAAGACAGAAATCAAAAAAAATTTTTTGAATTGAACAACAAAGACAAGACAAGCTTCCAGAAATCTCCAGTATACAGCAAAATAAAGCAGTGCTGAGAGGGAAGTTCATAGCCTTAAATGTCTACATCAAAAAGACAGAAAGATCACAAATGAACAACTTAATGTCACACACCCCAAAGAACTAGAAAAAGAACAAACCAAACCCAAAGCTAGCAAAAGAAAAGAAATAACAAAGATCAGAGCAGAACCAAACAAAATGGAAACAAACAAACAAACAAAAACGACACAAAGGATCAACAAAATAAAATGTTGGTTCTTTGAAAGGATAAACAAAATTGATAGACCACTGGCTATATTAGCCAGAAATAGGAGAGAAAGGACTCAAATAAGCTCAATTAGAAATGAAAAAGGAGACATTACAACTGATACCACAGAAATACAAAATATCATCCAAGACTACTATGAAAACCTCTACACACACAAACTAGAAAATCTACAGGATATGGATACATTTTTAGAAACACACAATCCCCCAAATTTGAATCAGGAAGAAACAAAAGTCCTGAACAAATCAATAATGAGTAGTAAGACTGAAACAAGAATACACAATCTCCCAAAAAACAACAAAAAAGCCCAAAACCAGATGGATTAACAGCTGAATTCTACCAGATCTATAAAGAAGAACTGGCACCTACCCTACTGAAACTGTTCTGTAACATCAAGAAGGAGGGAATCCTTCCTAACTCATTCTACAAAGCCAGTATCACCCTGATACCAAGCCAGGAAAGAACACGACAAGAAAAGAAAACTACAGACCAATATTCCTCATGAACATATATGCAAACATCTTCAACAAAATACTAGCAAACCAAATCCAACAGCACACTGAAAAGATAATTCACCATGATCAAGTGGGTTTCATCCCAGAGATACAAGGATGGTTCAATATACACAAATCAATAAATGTGATTCACCACATAAAGAGCACTAAAAACAAAAACCATATGATCACCTACCTTGACAGATGCAGAAAAAGCATTAGATAAAATCCAGCACCCCTTCATGATAAAAATTCTCAACAAACTAGGACTAGAAGGAACATACCTCAAAATAACAAAAGCCATGTATGAACCCACAGCCAACATCATACTGAATGGGGAAAAGTTGAAAGCATTCCCCGTAAGAACTGGAACACGACAAGGATGACCACTGTCACCACTTCTATTCAACATAGTATTGGAAGTCTTAGCCAAAGTAATCAGTCAAAAGAAAGAAATAAAGGCCACCCAAATCAGAAAAGAGGAGGCTAAACTATCCCTGTTGGCCAACAATATGATCTTATATCTAGAGGACCCTAACGATTCCTCCAAAGACTCCCAGAATTGATAAATTCAGTAAAGTCTCAGGTTATAAAATTAATGTACACAAATCAGTATTATTTCCATGTACTAATAACAGTCAAGGTGAGGGTCAAATCAAGAACTCAATGCCATTTACAATAGCTGCAAAGAAAATAAAGCACCTATGAATATACTAACCAAGGAGGTGAAAGATTTCTACAAGGAGAACTATAAAATATGATGAAAACACAAATGATACAAACAAATGGAAAAACATCCCATGCTCATGAACTGGAAAAATCAACATTGTTAAAATGTCCATATTGTCCTAAGTGATTTACAGATTCAATGCAAATCCCATCAAAATACCAACATCATTTTTCACCGATCTTGAAAATAAATTCTAAATTTCATGTGGAAGCAAAAAAGGGCCTGAATAGCCAAAACAGTCCTAAGCAAAAAGAACAAATCTAGAGGCATCACAATACCTGACTTCAAAGTATACTACAAGGCTACAGGAACCAAAACAGAATGATATTGGCATAAAGGTAGAAACACAGACCAGTGGAACAGAACAGAGAACCTGGAAATAAAGCCATATCCCTATAACCAACTAATTTTTCACAGAGCAGACAAAAATATATACTGGAGAAAGGACACCCTATTCAATAAATGGTGTTGGTAAAATTGGCTAGCCACATGCAGAAGAGTAAAACATGATCCCTATCTCTCACCATATACAAGATTTAATTCAAGATGGATTAAAGAGTTAAATGTAAGACCTGAAACCATAAAAATTCTTGAACAGAATGTAGGAAAAACTCTTCTGGCTATGGCCTAGGCAAAGAATTTATGACTAAGACCCCAAAAGCAAATATACCCACAACAAAAATAAGTGGGACTTAATTAAACTGAAAAGTTTTTGCATAGCAAAAGAAATAATCAAGAGTAAACAGACAACCTACAGAATGGGAGAAAATATTCACAAACTATACATGCAACAAAGGACTGTAATATCCAGAATCTATAAAGAATTCAAATCAGCAAGAAAAAAACAAATAACTCCATCAAAAAGTGGGCAAAAGACACGAACAAACATTTTTCAAAAGATAGACAAATGGCCAACTAACATGAATATATGCTCAACATCACTAATCATCAGGGAAATGCAAATTAAAACCACAATGAGATACCACCTTACCCCTGTCAGAATGGCCATTATTAAAAAGTCAAAAACAATAGATGTTGGCATGGATGCAGTGAAAAGGGAATGCTTATACACCATTGGTGGTAATGTAAACTAGTACAACCTTTATGGAAAACATCATGGAGATTCCTCAAGGAACTAATAGTAACCCTACCATTTGATCCAGCAATCCCACTACTGGATATCTACCCAAAGGAAAAGAAGTCATTTTATAAGAATAACACCTGCACCTGAATGTTTAAGTGCAGCACAATTCACAATTGCAAGGATATGAAATCAATCTAAGTGTCCATGATCTGATGGGTGGATAAAGAAAATGTGGTGTATGTGTATATAGTAATATATATATATATATATATATGGATGGATGGATATATATACACACATACACACACACACACACACACACACACACACACACACACATGCACATGCATACCATGGAGTACTACTCAGCCACAAAAAGGTATGAAATAATGTCTTTTGCAGCAACTTGGATGGAACTGGAAAACTTTATCCTAAGGGAAGTATCTCAGGAATGGAAAAACAAATACCACATGTTCTCATTTATAAGTGGTAGCTAAACAACAGGTATAAATAGTCATAAAGTGGTATCATGGACATTGAAAACTAAAAAAGAGGGAGGATGTTGGACAGTGAGGGCTAAAATTTTACCTATCAGGTACAATGTACACTATTCTAGTAATGGGTACACTAAAAGCCCTGACTTTATACAATTCATGTAACAAAAAACACTTGTACCCCCTAAATCTATTGAAATAAAAAAAAAAAACTGAAAGGAATAGCTTTGCAACTTTGGAATAAGCAAAGGCTTCTTAGGTAGAACACAAAAACAATAAAAAATTATTAATAAGACTTTACCAAAAGAACACACACAACAAAAAACAGTATCCAGAATATATAAAGAACTCTAAAGACTAACACCTATAATCCAAGCACTTTCAGAGAGCAAGGCAGGAGGACTGCTTAAGGACAGAAGTTCAAGCCTCACCTGGGAAACATAGCTAGACCGTATCTCTACAAAAAACAAGCCAGGTATAGTGGCATGCACCCGTAGTCCTAGCTACTTAGAAGAGGCTGAGGTGGGAGGATTGCTTGTGCCAGGAGTTCCAGGCTACAGTGAGCTATAATTGCACCATTGTATATCAGCCTAGATGACAGAGGGAGACCTTGTCTCTAAAAATAAAAACGAAAAACTCTTATAACTCAATAATAGTGGTCAAAGATATATACAAACATAGATGGATGGAAATGACCAATAAGCACATGAAAAGATCCTC